CTTTTGCCCCTGAGACCTAGATCCGTGTTAAGCCTTGGTGTGATCCTCCCGACCTCCAAATTCGAGATTCCTCTGCTTTCGTTTCGTTGAAGGTAAAGCCTGAGCTAGCGTGTCTCAGCCTTGGCAACTGGAAGATAGGTGGACTTCAACTCCCAGAATTCCCCAGCCAGCGTAGAATTCTGGGAGTTGAACTCCACCTATCTTACAGTTGCCAAGGTTGAGACACGCTGGTCTGAGCGAACAAAAAGAACGGGGGGGGGGCAGCGGAAGGGAAGGTGAGCCCATTTGCTGCCCTTGGAAAAGTGGGGAGGGCCCCGCGCCTCTCGGTTCTTGAGTCTGAACGAGCCACTAGGGGATGCAATGACTCAATGGACAGAACGTTGCGAGCTTAGTTAAAAGTTCGAACGCGGGGCGAGCAGCCAATCGCCGAAGGCGTCGGCAAGCAGAGGGCGGTGATTGGCTCTGAGAGTATCCATTCGTCTCTTTCTCTCTCCTTTCATTTCCAAAAGTCAATTGTTTCAGGAACAGCTTCTCCGTCAACTGGATTGTCTGTACTCAGAAAGCGGGGATACTTGTGGGAGAACCGTGGTTCGCAGAAAAGAAAAAACGTGACTCGCCCTATTCACGCCAGGCTCCTTAAAAGTTCCTCCCGTGTATTGCGCCCACGACCGGTGAACGCATTCCCGACGGTCGTAACAATTCGCGTTACACACAGACCCACACACACAAAAGCTTTTAAGGGCCAAATTACCCATTATTTTAACTATCCCCACCTGCTTACCTAAGATTTCTGTCGCGTCTGAATTCGGTTAACTCACGGAGGGGTAGGGAAGCCCACTAGATGTTTAACCGCGTGTAAACGCCCCACCTGCACGAGCCAATCTCCTTACCCTAACAAAACTACAACATTCCTCGATTTACGCCAGCGTTCTACATCGCCTTTCCCCTGAAATTGCACATTTGGGGTGCGGGTCGTGCTGTATGCGGGCTCCTATGCGTGCTTGGAAAGGAGTGCTCCTAAAAAATAAAAGAGGAGGAAACAAGGATGAAATACCGCCCCCCCCCCCGCTTAAATTTGCCTGGCGATGATTAACTCTTTCTCAAGCTGGCAGTCCTGCGCAATCTTTCCGCCCCCGGTAGGAGTGGGAGGAATAGAGACGCTGTTTCTTGGGGGGGGGGGGGGGGGAGGGAAGGGGACCGGCCGCAGTTTGCTTCCTCCCCCTCCCCTTGTTGAAGGACAGGCCCCTCCCCGCTGATGATACGGGAACCTCCTTAAGTTGCGTCTCGCCACAGCTGTCTCTAAATGCGGAGCCTGCTGGCGCCATCCTGATTCTTTCAGAAATAATGCCTTCCCTTTAAAAAAAAAAAGCGAGAGAGAGAAGGAAGGAAGGGGGAGGGAGAGAGAGAGAGAGAGAGACAGCGAGAGAGGTGGAGGAGGGAGCGGAGGAAGACCATTTGAGCCGACCGAGTTCTCCTCCTCTGCAACTTTTTTCCCGGCGCTGCATCTCTTCCCCCCCCCCCATTTTTTTTTAAAAACCGCTTTTCTTTCACGCTTTTCCCCCTTCCTGCTTTGCCCACTCCCCTTACTTTTCTGCCGCTGGGTTGCTTCGTTCCAGTTGCATTCAAAATGATACCGGTCCCTGCGAGCGTTAACCCCAAACAAAAACAAAACTTGTTCTGAGCAGCCGCGAAGTTCTGCAGCTCGTGCGGCGCCCTCCGTGCTCTCTCTCGCCCGCCTTTTTAAGCCTCCCCGTGCCCATCCGCCCGAAATGAAGAGTCGCCCATTAGAGTAACCGCGAGTCCCGTCTGCCGACCGCGCCCGAGCTCCCTCCGCCGCTG